TCTGGCCGATGCCGATGGTCACCATGGCATCGATCTTGCCAAGGTCCTTGACCACTTCGCCTGACGCAGTCTTGTAGACTTTGCAGGTGCCTTCAGTCTGGATAGGCTTGTAGCCCAATGCGGTGGCCAGTTCAACAGGGATGCAGGAGGTCGCGGCTCCTGAATCCAAGGTCACCTGATGAGCCATTGGCGTCTCCATGGATGCCAGCTCCAAACTTCTGAGAGCGAGTGGATCCTCATCGCCTTCATCAGGCTCGCTTGAGGGAGTGGGATATCGTTTTCCCTTTCCCTTCTTGGCCTCACGGGCAGCATCTTGGGTGGCCACGTTGACAGCTCGAGTCAACTGCACTTTCTTCTGCTTGCCCTTTCCTTGGCCCTTCTCGGAGGCAGCCGGAGCCGAAGCGGCTCGGCTTTTGCCCGGGGATCGTGACCGGGACTTCAACCGAAGCGTCTGCCTTGGCGCTTCGCTGGATTCCTCTGGCTTGGATCCTGGTCCACGGAATCGCTCTAGGTGCTCTTCAGTCGAGCTCTTGAACCAGGCCATGCGCTCCTCCTTGGTCTTGCCCTTCTTCTCAGGAGGTGGAGGTGTCTTGGCAATGCGCCTTTGCTTTGGCGTCTTTGGGCCAACCTCATCTTCCTCCTCCTGTTCTTCCATCATCTGCTGCATATGGGCTGTCATGTAGAAAGGAGGTTCGTTCTTGACGGTCTCAAGCTTTGGATCTTTCATCTTCAAATGCTTTGCCACATCTTCGGGCTTCAGATCCATGTCGGCATCTTTCACATGCTTTGGCGCATCTTTTGAAGTTGGGCTGCCTTGCTGTCCCTTGGCAGTCCTGATGCGTTTTCCCATCTCTTTCTGCTTGATCGTCCATTCCTTTGCCCACTGGTTGAGGACTTTTGGCGGGCAACAATTCAAAGCCATATGGTGGTTCCATAGGCCGGTGTCATTGTCACACCTCAGGGCCTTGTTGCACGCACGGCAGACCATATTCTTGCTGCCATCTCTGTTCTTGTGGGTGCATTTGGCTACCCATTCATCATAGCTGAGGATGCGCTCTTGGAACATGTGATCGAGCCATGGCACGGTATCTTTCTCTTTTTCTTCTTCTTGTCCATCTGACTCCTCGTCAGCTGGCTCAGTGCCATTCTCATCCTCTTCAACTTCACCTTCAAACTCTTCTTCTTCTTCGAGTCCCTCGATCTCAGTCACATCAAGGGGATTGATGTTCTCCATGACTGGAGCTGCGAAGGATGGTGCGCTTGTTGCTCCTTCGCCTTGGCTTTCGACGCGCTTCATCACAACATAGTCCTCTGGGTTGAACCCAGCTGCAGTGAGCGCCTTGTCGATGACACTGCGGGCTGGATGGCTAGTAGCCGTCCATGTCTGGCTTTCCCGCTTCATCTCTGCCAACTCTTGAGTGGAGAGATCCTCGATCTTGGGCTCCTTCTCTTTTGGCTTTTCAGGCTTCTTTACCTTTCCTGGCTTCTTGTAGCCACGATGCCTCTGGGCCTTTTCTCGACCTCGAGGCTGAGGGGCTTCATCAAACTTTCCCTCATCATCTTCATCATCCCAAGCTTGAAGTCGACCGGTACCCTTGGCACGAGCGATCTCATAGTAGTCGAGCTCCTCAGGGTAATTGGCCTCATAGTCGCGCCAGGATTCGAAGCGATCCTGGGCCTTGTCAACGCGATGTTGCTCAGCGCGCTGACGGCTCTTCTCTTTCTTCTTGGCCAACCTTGGGTCCATGCCTGATGCCAAATCAGCTGAGAGCCTTGGCGACTCCGCCGGAACCGAAGCGGCTCGGCGAGGAGTTGGCCTCTTCAGCAAGATCTTGGCTTCTCTCTCCTTTTCTTCATACTGTTCTTTCAGCCTCTTCATCTCGGCCTGTTGTTCCAAGATGGCATCATTGGCTGCTTTGCCTTTGGCTTCGGCCTCTTCGATGGCCTTCTGGATTGTCTCAGACTTCCTCTCATACAGCTCGCGATTGGACTGCATGGTCTCTTGGATTGCTTGGTTCATGACTGCAATCCCAGCAGCTGCAATTCCAGGACGACCTTTTCCAGCTCCTGGCTTCTTTGGCATAGCCTTGACTTCAGTCTCAGCTTTTGCCTTGGCTGCTCCACGAGAAATTGCTGCAGGTGCGGCTTTCTCCATCTCGATGGCAAAGAGGGTGGCGATGTCAGCGGAATACTCAGGCTCGGGTTGATGCTCTTGAGCCATAGAGGTTTCAGATTCCTCAACTGATGCTACCTTCTTACTTTTACTCTTGCCTTTACCTTTAGAGTCTTTGCCTTTGCCACCTTTGCCTTTACCCTTGGAGTTTTGGTTGTACCAACTACTCTTGCTCCAATCATTCTTATACCAATCGTTCTTGTTCCATGAGTTGTTCCATGACGAGGGATTGGACCATGAAGAACCTTTTCCCTTCTGTTTACCTTTGTCGTTTCCCTTGCCTCCATCTTGACTCTTTCCTTTTCCTTTGCCGCCTTTTGAGCCACCTTTGCCTTTTCCTTTGGCTTTAGCCAGACTTGCAAGTGAAGCTTGCATCTGGCTGGCAGCTGCGGCTAGTGCGTCAACATCCATTGGTGCTGATCCAGTCTTTGCTTCTTTTCGGCTCTCTATGTTCTCGAGGTAGGCCAAAATCTCTGACTTCATGATGGCATAGTCAGTGAGTCTCGAACTCTGGAGGTCAAGGTGATCTTGAAGTTTGGCTGGACACATCTGCTGAAGACAACTTCTTGCGATGTCATCATCAAGAGCTTTCTTCTTCCGCTCTTCATACTTTCGCCTGATGTTTTCCCAGGCTTCTATGCTCTCTCTGAGCTTGTCCAATGCACACTGTTGTGGGTGCAGGACCTTCTTCAGCAAAGCTGAGTTTGCTTGTGGGTTCTGTGGATCATACTTGGTGATCAATCGTCTCAATGCCTCTAGGCCAAAGTGCTGACCTCTGGAGGTATTCTTGACAATCTCGAGGGCTTCTCCCTCACATAGTGAGATCAGAGCCTGTCGGGCCTGAGCTGAAACAAGCTCGGCTCCTTCAGGATAATCATCTTCCAGAGATGTCTCATTGATCTCTGTGTCTTGATGCTCTTCGAGGAGCTGAATGCACTTTCCTGCATTCTTGTGACTTGTCTCAATCCAAGTCTTGAACTTGAAGTACCATGAATCCCAGGTACCTGTGTGTCCACTGAACTTGTCAGGCTTTGGAATGCCTTTCAACTCGGATCTGTCTCTTACTTCTACGCTAGTGGCTATGTTCCTTGTGATTGCCGTTTGTTGTGTATATGCTTCTGCCATTGCTCGTTGCAATTGGCTCTGCCCCTGTGCTAGGGCTTGCATCATCTGTGCAAATTGTTGTGCCATGTCTGTGTCTTGTGGTGCCTGTGCTCCTGGCTGTTGCGCCATGTTGACTTGCTAGCCAGGGATTGAAGCAATCCGGCTTTCCTGCAAGTGATGCTTGTTTTGTGGATCTCTGGTGCCAGAGCCGATGCAGCTCGGCGACCTTCGATTCGCAGACGGTAGCCGGGTCTTAGAACCGCGGCTCCGCTACCATGAACGGAGAATTTAGGCTCTTAAACTCTGTGACCCCGAGTCACTGTCCCAAAGGTTGTAGTAGAAGCTTAGGCACACTTTTAGCTCCACTCCAAGCGTGAGCTCTGGTAGTGAAATGAACACAAAAGTAAACCACAAACTTGAACAAACGGCTGCAGTGAAACATACATCTATACAAGCTATGTCATGTACATGTAACTGGTGCTACATCTGATCATTAATGTAATATTATATATATATATATAATATATATATTTACAATAAATATATACAGAGTCTCAGAGCTGAGCCCCTCCATCGTTTGGAGCCTCTTCATATGGGGGGTTGTGTTCAACAGCTGTCTATATGGACTGCGCTCAAAAGCCCTACTCAAAAAATATAGATATATAAACGTAAACTTTTAAGGTTGGACATGTGTTTTTAAGTCTTCGTTTAGAAGCGGGCCCCCCAGCAGACTATGGTGATACAGCAAGGCAACGCTAGATTGGCGCTAGGTTGGCGCTAGATTTCTTCATAACAGTATGAGCAAGCAGGAAAAAGAAACTAGCAGAGAGCAGCAAAAAGAAGAAGCAAGACAAGACAAATAAAAACAAAGCAGCAGCAGCAGAAGAAGAAGAAGAAGAAGAAGACAAAGACAAGCAAGCAGGAAAAGTAAGAATCTGACAGGATCAAGAAATCGACGGAGATTTTTGCGCTAGGCTGGCGCTAGATCCGCGCTAGCACCGCGCTAGACGACGGTCCATTTCTTGACCATTTGCCCATCCAACATCCAAATCTTTTGAGTCAGCTTTTACATCCTTCCTATGTCGTCCTGAAGATTTCTGAGAACAAAAATGGGCAAGACCAGCAGCAGCAGTAGCAGCAACAACAGCTCCAGCATGCTCCAGCAGCTCAACAGGCCCCTGAAAAGGTCCGCGCTAGACACCTCTCACAGTTTTTGCAGTTGACATGCCTTGATGCTTAACATCCCTGTAGTTTGAGTGTGGTTGGAGTTCAAAGGAGACTTAGAAGCGGGCCCCCCATGGAATTGCGATGAGTGCACCATTTTGGGAAAAGACATTGTGGAAACCAACCATATACATTGACTGAGATCCACTAGGTTCTTCATGCGCTTTAGAACCATGGCGTATTTGACTTAAGAGTCTGATATGGACAAAATATAAAGACAGAGATTCTAGTCATGCCACCGTGTAGCTGGTAGGATTCTCCTTCCTGTAGAACATCGGTCACCCATGGACCAAACCAGCACGAAATGTACGGCCTTGGTGGCTTGGTATCGACGACACTGGCCGAGCGTTGAAGCGGTTTGTTGTTGTCTTACTTGATGAAGCCACTCCGAACTTTGGACGAGTCAAATCATGCGATCAGTTGCTCTCGAACTGGGCCCCCAACCTTTCGAAACCGTGGTGCCCGCCCGTGGTGCTCGCGGTTTCGGTTTCGTGTGCAGACTTCCTCTGACCTTTGGAGTGCTGGTTGCATTCTGTACGAGATGTATAAACGGCAGCCGCTCTTTGCTCGCGATCTGCCGCGGCGCGTGAAGACTCTGGAAAGCCTCTTTGGTCGCCCGGAAGGCGTGAAGACCCTGGAGAGCTGGTTGGCCGAGTGGAGATCAATGGAAGCGAAGAGAGCGGGAGAGGGTTGGAACAACACCACCCCTCCACCAATGGTCCAGAACCAACGAAAATAATGTAGACATATGATGTAGACGGTTGATTAAACAATGACAGTAGACCTCCATTTGTTTATAATCAACAAGCTACATGAATTAACACACTCCTTTGGAACTCCCAGCTTCCACTCTTGAAGATTGGTGACATCAAATCAAGTCGACCCTCTACGAGGAGGTTTGTTCGAGGTGATTTGTCAGGTGTAGGCAGACACCAGAATTGACACTCCTGGAAGGTGTTTCTTTCGACTTTTTCATTATCGTTCCCCACTGTATACAGATCCGAGGTTCTCGTGCGACTATCATTGATGACAGTCCCATGCTATGGAGTCCAAATTCCTCTTGATTTGTGTCATTCTCAATTCTCAAGTGACCAAAGATGAAGCACTTGGGATTCTTTCCAAGAAATTACCGTCTTGCAATTCCCTTCGTTGGACTTTCATGGCCTGTCTCTTTGTTTGCCGTGAGTTGAGGCGCGCCCTGGTCTGATGTCACGGCAGCCGGATCCCCCACGCCTCCAGTGGATTGGCTCGCGTGGGTGCCAACAGCGTCGCAAGACGCATGTGCGTGGCTTGGGTTTCACGCGGCGTGGAAAGACCGTTTCGGGTGAGGTGGGACCTCTTGGTCACCCCTCGGTCACTCGGGAAAGGCGCGTGCAAACACGTGATTTAAAACTGCGGCTCTCTTTCTGTGTCATTTCAGGATTTGACATGGACGTGCCCAAAATTTTGACGTCAGTTGGGTCTAAGTTGCAGCACCGACAATGCCGCTTTAGTCCACTGAGGCTGCTTCAGCAGATGATTCATTGGGAACCCTCCCAGCGCTGTAGCTGCCAGGACTTGTAACGAGCTATATGACTATATTTGACTATATGGCATATCTCATCAGACTCTTGATTAATAAGCCCCCCATTTGAATTGGATATCCTCTTCATATGAGGGCTGACATGGAGCACGGCAGTTGTGGCCGGGTGTTGTGTCACATGTGGCACGGCGCACGGCAGGAAACTGCCTGCACTCCTCCGGTGTCCGAGACCAGACGGGGCTAAATTTGGAGCTGGTTTGGATTACCTTCGTTCAGTGGCAGATGTCAAGATGCCATCCCAAAGACGCCCTGGTTTGGATGAACCACCGGGTTCTCGTAGCGTCGTAGAGGAACATCGTTCAAATCGTCTTCCCAAGGATTCCAACGGGTCCTTTGAAGGTTCCATGTCCATTGTTTTCCTCTCCGGGTGTCTAACACATTCATGCCGTGGTTTCTCACAACGGGATCAGCCTGGCGGGTCAGATCGGGTCCTAACGTCGTCACTTGACCGACCTTCATGTTCACCTGTGGAGCGATGAAGCTCCGCGGTTTCAGAACTTGGAAGGTTCAATTTCCGTCCCCGCAGGACGTCGAAACGGATGGTGCACTGCTTCGGGGCCTACCCAAAAACACCCTCTCCCCGACGACAGAGAAGCGCCGCGGTTCGGACCATCCCTCCAAGCGTCGGAAAAGCGTCGGAAGCGCAGCGAGCGGTTCTCAGCTCCCTCGAAGCGTTGGGAATCTGAAGGAGGCTCTACAAAGCAGCTCCTTCAAAGAGATTCGAGATCCAGAGGTCCGTGGGAGTGTGCTTTTGGAAGTGGGAGAGGTTGGATGCGGGATCATGTGGAAGAATGGGGGTCATGTCCAGCATAGTGCAGCCGTTGAATCTCGTGGCAAAAAAATACCGTTCATGGATTCATTAGCCATAGTCCAGCTATCTCACTCTTACGTATCTCTCTTCTGGAAGTGTTTTTTCGTCAAGGCCTTCAACCAAAATACTGTTCGCTGTTGCATTGCTCTTCCTTTCTCATGGTGTCCCTTGGATATCCGTGGAACTTACACGGGCGGCAATGCTGCAGCCGGCGTGGAGCAGGACTGCCGGAATTGCTCTACTTCTGGGTTTGGCCTTAGCTGGCTCTTTCGTTTCACTTGACGCGAGCGCCAGCAATTCCTGGCTCCAAGCTTTTTCTCTCCACCTGCGCGATACACGGACCAAGCACCATAATGCTAGCACTGCGAGCAGCGATGGCGGGAGTGGACAGATGACTTCAGACAAAACGGCTTCGAACTGCCAAGCGGCAAACCCAGCTGGTGAAGCTGGTTCTGATCCTTGCACTGCCCTTCTTCCCATTGACACGTGGGACAGAAGCGAAAATTGGAGTGCTGTGTTGTTGGCAGATGATGGTGCACATCCACATGCCCAATTTGGAAATCAGCTCTTCACAGCAGCCTTGTCGATCTCGCTTGCGATCAACCAGTCAGCCCTGTTGTTGGTTCTTCCAAGTTTCAGATACGTCGACTGCCATGCCTTCGCTCAAGCTACCATTTGAACCAGGAAATCGAAGACCTATGTCAAGGTTGCCATCATGGTGAAGCCATTTGGCAAGACCGAAATTTGAGCTGCAACCGAGGTAGAGGATGCCTTAGTCGTCTGACTGGACAGAAGAAACTAATCCATGGCCTTTCGGGCAACGGTCAAAACCTTTCATCGTGGGAAACTGACCCCATGAAGTTACAACAAACGCTTCAGGGCCTGTTGTATGCACCTCTACCCAGGACGGCGAATCCAGTGCGTTTACCCTGTGCCACTGACCTGGTCATCCATTTCAGGGTGTATGCAGGACATGCAATTTTTGACGGTAAAAGGAGACTGCTGACGCCGCCCTTCGACTTTTTCAAGTGGACCTCGGGGCAAAGGTCTTGACTGGGTTCGAAGAACTCCAAGTGCAGCTTCCCCGAAGAGGGCCTTTCAGGCATGTCAGCGAGAACGATTCTGCCTGGCTGGGTGACTTTGTGTGGATGCGTATGTCTTCTCACCTCGTTCTTTCGCCCAGCACCTTCTCTTGGTGGGCTGGCTTTCTGGGTGAACAGTCAAAAGTGTACGTTCCCATCCTTCCCGCCGAACTTCCCTTGCCTTGGTGTTGGATTTTCCCTCAGCATTCGAGCTGGGTGTTCTACGACGTTTGGAATCAAGAGGCTTTCAATGATGCAGACCAAGCAATGGCACGTTGTCTTGAATTCAGCAGCTGCAGGGAAGCAGACTGTCCCATGATGTCCTCTCTGTCTGAATTGGTGAAGCGATTGTATCCAGAACTTCTGCACTTGCAACCGAAGCTACAGATGCAGCACCTGGAAAGTCACAAATCCAGCCGAAAGGGACGGTGATTCAACGAATCGGGATGCCACACAAATATGCTGCTTAGGAATGCTTAGGATGTGTATTACAAGAAGATCTCAAACCCTCATTGTATTACAAGCTACATCAAGCTACCAGTTTTGCATATTTGTGCATATTTTTGCAAAAAGGACGCTGCATGAGTGGAGATCGTCACCTCACCCGAGATGATGCATGCACTGGGGGGGCTGTCACAGCCACACTCACATACTAGCGTGGATCCAGTTTAACTATATAGACCTTGTCCTTGCATGTTCTTCTCCAAGGACATCTTGTCGACATCGTGCATCATATCATCATGTTCTGTGATCCGAAGCGGTGGCCGAGGGTTTCAATGGCAGTGAAAAAAAAATCCATGCAGCGGTGCCAGTTCTGTCCATTTTTCGGGTTCCATGTGGGTCTTTTCCCGAGACATAATCCAATCTACCCTCTCAGCTTCCATGTGGGGACCTGCGCGTCACGGCTCCAAAAAGGCGCTGAAAACGCGCGGGAGGGTTCCTTGCAGTGATCGAACTGAAGAGGTCGCTCGTCCGTGTCGACACGTAGGGGCTCTGAAGTTAGGAGGTCCGGCATGCAGTTTTTCGACCACAGAGCCATGGAACATTGACATTCCATGGGGCTGGCATGGACTGGCACATTTACCGATCAGTTGGGGTGTTTTGGGGGGGTCCATGTATGGAATGGGGTATATTGGGTATATTACATGGAGTGCTTGGGTAGTGGAGCCCGCTGTGGAACGACAGTTCAAGCGGTTGCAGCCGCAGCTGCAGGATGCGATGAGGGATGTTCGCCGCTTCCCCTTGAATTGGGCCACCCTAGAGACACTTGTCGTCAAGTCCCACGCGAGTTCTTGAGGAGAAAGACACCAGAACAAGACGAATGAAGACCTCAACACGTATGTGTATATATAATTACATATCATTATATATTGTCAATGGTCTAATTGTCAAATCCCTTTTTTTTTTGGGTTTTGCCTGCACTGTCTCCGAGGTCTTGTTGGAATGTTTGCCAAAGAAAACGGTCGGGAACTGACCAAGCACTCGTCAACCAACAAAAGACTGGGAAGATCATGTGCCGTTTAGGGCCCCAAGGGGACAGTGCTGTATGGCTTTCTCTGATTTCGCGAAGGGTCGGCGACTTCCACACTGCGGTGATCCGAAAATGACCGGCGCTTTCAGGACCTGGGTTCATCGCCCGGGGTGAATGCACTGACATCATCAAAGGAGCAAATGGATGAAGATGGATGAACATGGTGTCCGTGTTCATGGTTGCCCAGTTGGACGCCCATGTTCCGAAGACCGGTGTTGCCACCCACTTCCGGTCACTGTTCGTTGGGCACCGCCCGAAGTCGGCCCACGGGCGCGAACGTCAAAGCCGCGGACCAAGCACCTCAGGAAGATCTGCAGCGAGGAGCACCGGTGCGTGGATTTCTTGGAAGACGCTGAATCGTGGTCCATAGAGTCGCGCTAGCTGGCGGCCCACGAACATGGCGGAACTGCTGCCACGCCCGTTTTCTGGAGCTTCCTTGTGAAACAGACGATTTGGAGCGGGTAGGAGGGAGGGATTCGGAGCCGGAGGTATCCATATTCCATCATATTCCCCTTTTGGCTCCCGGAGCTACAGGACGTTTCCCAAGCACTGGCCAGTGAAGCTTGGATTTTGGATGGGAGCAGCAAACCGATGCTAGGAGCGCAATCTGTGCCGCACAGATGGCCAACAGCGGCTTATAGAGGTCGTACGCATAGTTCCATATTCGTAGTTG